ACCAGGAACCGAACTCATGACCTTGCACTTGTCAGGCAGGCGCTCTGCCGCTGAGCTAAATCCCCAGCCCCTATATTTATATTTTTAGAAAACAATGGGACTAGTTTTTTTTAATACCACTGATGTTTTTGGAAGGAAGCTGTAGTATATCTAACTGTGGGTCTTAGCTTTATATGTATTAACCTGTTTTCCTGGGAGAAAATTTCTTGACATTTATAAATCTTGGTCATTAGGCAAGAAGAAGCTTCTTGAGACACAGATAGAAAACTTTTGAGAAAATCACTTTCCTTTGCTTTCATAAATTGGTACCAGAAATTTTGGAGAAATGAGGATATAGTACAACTATATTCCATTAAGAAGAGTTACTTCCTGGTATTTGGAATTTCTCTAAATGGTCTAAATATATTTTATTCTTTTTTAAAAAATTTATGTTTGAAGTTTTAAAAGAATTCCATATTCCAGATAGTCCGATGGTAAAATTTTGAACACTGTAATATTCCTGTTATATTAAGCGTTTCAAAAGCTAGTAAACATCTACATGATAATTCATTCACTTAAAAGTTTGCCTAGTAAAAGGAAAAGAGCAAATTTAGAGAATCTGTGACTCTTTAAGGAAGTTATTAAAAAGTAAATGTTTTCTTTCCCTACAGAGCTTAAGATGTTGATTTAGAAGGTGTATTTTGAATTATACATCTGAGACAAGAACAGATTTATGAGAACCTCTTACATTGCCACAAAATGCAGTTTTAGAAAGGTATTAATATAGAATTTCAGCAAAGTGAAACCAAGTATTTTTATTATATTGCAGTTTTATTAGCAAGTAAAATTTCATTACTTTGAAAAGTTGCTTTTGAAATGAAGTTGTATATTAGTAGCTCTTCCCAGTTTTTAAATGTTTTCTCCCATTAATGAAATTATTTATATGTCATAGTTACCTTTCTCCAGTAGGGAGGGAACACACTATTGGAGAGAATAACTATGTAGAGACCTGAGAAAATGGCCCTACTTTTCAGTTCAGCAAACTTGTTTTTATATCTAACTGCATTTTAGAACTTGTTTCTGCTTTGGAGTAGTATGTTTGTGATATTTGAAATATGATATCATGTTAGTAAATAAAGTAAAATAAATTCTTCTTTGTGTTACTTATTGGTACTATTTCATACTTAGGAAAGCAAGTAGAATGGACTGTGTGAAATGACAACTTTGATTCCTTCAGTCCTTCCAGATTGAGATAGTATGAGAGATTATTTTATTTTATTTTATTTTTTCTGGTACCGGGAATTGAACTCACGACCTTGCGCTTGCCAGGCAGGCGCTGTGCCGCTGAGCTAAATCCCCAGCCCCGAGAGATAAATTTTAAACTTGTATTTATTTCAGTTCCTTGTGAAGATTCAAAATTTTATTTATTTTTTATTTTTTTATTTTTTATTTTTTTTTGGTTTTTCTCCGGTACCGGGAACCAAACTCACGACCTTGCGCTTGCCAGGCAGGTGCTTTGCCGCTGAGCTAAATCCCCAGCCCCAAGATTCAGAATTTTAAAAGATGCTGGTTAGTCTTGAATATTGATGGCAGCACTAACTTACATAGTAGCACTCCCAAAGGCAGGTTGGTTAGGGCTGTGCATTTAGCAGTCACTGTATACATTTGTTCTCCGCGAGGTTGTTTCTCAGAGCTGTGGGCTTCTTCAGGTGCCCCCGCTGGGTGTGGGTGTGCTGTCCGTGGACGGTGCACGGCGTGGGGCTGTGGCTGTGAGTTGCTGCCCTCATAGCAATTCGCAGTTGTGCACATTTTCAAAGAGATGTCTTTTGATCAGGATTGCGGAGCATAGGGAGTCACGACCGATGAGCACTCTTTTCCCTCCCACTTTGCTTTGTCACTTTTCAAAATCTAGCAGCAAAATAGGGATGTACTAGAACGGGGTGGTCATTTACTGTACAGGAAAGAATTATTTCAGGAAGGTTCTCTTTTTTTGCTGATATTTGAACTAGTTTTTCAGTCAAATTATTCTTTTTAACATTTTGTACCAGACTAATTTGTGGATTGTCAACCCCTGTTAGAGAGACTTAGTTTAGAAACTCAGCATTTAGAACATTTAAGTTGTGCTAGGTAAGTATGCATTAGGAAGATGCTGAGTGGTACTTGACAGTCTTCGATGTGTCTGAGATGCCTCCAACTTTATCTTTACTTAAATACTACAGTGCTTTGATTTTTAAACTAATGAGCAAAATTTTAGAATTCATTAATGGTAGTGGATTATAGAAGTTATCAATTCCCAAATTGACTTATCAATGTAATATATCAGATTCTTTCATTTTTTAAAAGTAAATACACTGCATAGCAAGACCTGAGACCTTGTCTCAAAAAAAGCAAGTACATGATGGAGGGCGGGGAGGAGAAAGGGCATTAGAAATGCAGATGTGCAGCGTACACGTGCCGGCTCCCGCGGTGAATGTGAGCATGTGTGTTGTGCACATGTGCTCATAGAAGCTTTAAAATTCTGAAGAATAAGATTTTATTTACCCTGAAGTATTTTTTTAAATGGTCCCGACTTGAATAAAATTCTCCCTGAGAACCATAGTTGAGTTTCCGTTAGTGATTCATTTCATGGCAGTTCATGGTCTGAGGTCAAATCACAGGGACCCTGAGCTTCCTTGTTGCTGCTTCATTGCCCCCATTCTCACTTCAAATTTAGTGGTTTTTGTTTGTTTGTTTGTTTTGTTTTGTTTTTGAGACAGGATCTCGCTGTGTAGGCATAGCTGGCCTTGAACGTGGTTTGTGTCTCAGGTTGGCCTTGAACTTGAGGTTTTCTTACCTTACTTAGCCTCTGGGGTACTGGGATTGCGAGCATGCACCATAGTCCTTAGCTCTCAGATCTGGAATTTTTAGGAGAGTTCTGTCAGGCATCAGGTATACAAAGCAGACGATATTAAGTAGGATCCTTACAGTTTATATCATGCAGAAGGGAAGAAAAATATCTTCGTACACCTTCCTCACAAAGAGTACACTTTTTTCTCTTCATTGTTCTTCACAAGTTTTGAAGTTCAAGCAGTTGTTTTTAGATCATATGTACTATTTAACCATTGTAGCTTTTTAAATGGTGGTTATGTTAGAAGTGGATATTCCCAAGGATTTCTTGAAGTATCTGTAGGAAGGAGGCTAAGGCAGGAGGTTCTTGTGAGCCCAATAGTGTGAGGCCAATTTGGGCAACATAGTGAAACTGTATCTCTTCAAAAACACAGGGCTGTGGATGTAGCTGAATGGCAGAGCACTTCTGTAGTATGTACAAGGCCCTGCATTGTATTCCCAGGGCTACAAAAACAAAATAAGACAAAAAAGGTGTAGTAGTGAGCCAAAAAAGCCCCCCAACAGTGTGATTTGGGCCGGTCAATTCAGGGTCATAATTAGTCACTCTAACCTGCTGGGAATTAAACCCAGGCTTTGTGTATAGTAGTCTTAAGGGTATCGTTGTCCTGTGGCAGAGTCTGTCACTTGTTCTTTGTAGAAACCAGCTAATCGAGCAAAGAGTGCACTACCCTCTTCGAAGGAGGTTACGGCCTTGTGTATTACACGTGGTATAGACAGCACTGCTATAGAAAAGTTTGTAGTTTTAAAAACATGCTTTAATGTTTTAAATATTTAATTTATTGACTGTTTCCATGGTACTATTATAATATTAGCATATACATTGTCACCAGTATATGTGCTGTTTCGTGTATGAAACCTGCCATTTCCATAGGTACAATCTGGATAATGTGTTTCTTGTTGGATTTAGCATCTGTCATTTGTCAGTGATAAATATGTTATTACTTATCAAGGGCTTTCAGTTAAATGAGAAGAACAAAGATTTCTTGAATCGGTTTGTAGAAATTGGTGGTTTTAGTAAGGACTGGAAAAGAAAGACTTCTTGAGAAAAGTTGGTTAAAATTATAAGCACTTAAGAATAGCATCCGTTACTACAAAAACACAAAAACATAATGGAATGCTATAATTTGTGAGAAGTGAATTAGAAAAAACAGAAACAAAGAGATGGTGTTTATCCAAAATTTTGAGTGTTCATGTGTTGGTTTTTAGAGTGGAACAGTTATAATAACTTACTTGTGCTAAGATGTGTTTGAAAACTCAACTTCTTAGAATACTTCTGAAATTGAAAACTTCAGTATAGTACAGTGTTTGTTATTCTGTGTGACAGGATACCTAGAGTTATACTGACGAATGTCCTGGGAACGGAGTTAGGAAGAAAATACATAAAGACCCCGCCTGTGACTGAGGCCAGTGTGAGTGACACAGACAACTTGCAGTCAGAGCAACTTCCCTCAGCGTCCGATGGCAGCCTGGAACCTGGTCAGAATCTGAGTCCTCACAAGAGCTGCTTTATATCTGAAAGGTACGTTTAGTGGTGACTTCACTCAAAATAAGTATTTACCCTCATGAACCTTCCCGATCTTTCTCCACACTTGTGTTGACTGTGAAATGTGAGATACATGGTGCTCTGTAGCTGGTATGACGTTTCTCTCCTAGTGGCTGGAGTGGTTATTGGGACCAATTGTCCATGTCTGATAATGAATTTCAAAAGTACTGGTCAGTGTTTTTGCAAAATGAGTGCAGGTACCAAATGATAATGTAACTATGGTATTTAAGTTTCCCAGTTTTTTTTCTAAATTTTTCTTCTCTATAAGTGAAAATTTACCAGGCATGGTGGCACATAGCTTTTATCCCACTTACTTGGAGGTGAAGGCCAGAGAATTGCAGGTTTGAGGGTGGCTTGGGTAACTTAGTAAGGTCTTGTCTCAAAAAAAAGAAAAAGGTAGAGTGAGGTGGAATTGTAGGATGTAGCTTAGTGTTAGAAGGCTTGCTTAGTATGGTACAGTCCCCTGATTTCAACCTCCAGCACCAAAAAAAGGTCCCTCCCCAGTGGTATTATTCATTTACTAAATTTAATATATACTTAGAGATATTAAAAGTGCCTATGCATGTAACACATTATACTATAGGAGTTCATTTTTGTCTCTTCTAGATTACAAGCTCCTTAAATAAAGGTGGTGTATAACATCTTATTTGCATTAAATAACCAGGGGTTAGCTCAATAAGGACTGAACTTGTGTACTGGCTTACGTTACATTTAACCTTGAGCATCATTTTTCTGATTGTAAAAAGAGAAGTAATTTTGAATGCTCTTTCTGTCTCACTATATTGTTTTTTAAAAAAACACATCAGAATTTTTTATGCACATAAAATACTGATATAAGTGAAAATGCTATTATTGAAGATACTTTGTGTAGAAACAACTTACGATGGTGTGTTGACAGAATTCAAATGACATCAGTGTACATTCATGCTGCTTGGAAAAACAGCTCTATTGTAAGGATTCTGTGAAACTGTCAAAGTATAATTTGTACTTTTTACACTTTATGCTGATCTGGAGCTAAAGATTAATAATAATATTATGTTTAATTTATTCAGTTGGAACTTTAGTTCTCCTCAAGTTCTTCACAAATAGGTGTGAAATTTCTAGGTGGCTTTGATATACTCTCTGAAAATTCATTCTCTTGGTGACAGTTTTTTTTGGTCTTGCCTTTGGAATAAGCGTAAGTCTGGCAGCAGATTCCTAGATTTGAATCTTATATATTGCTAATACACTGGTTTGCCTTGGTAAATTACTTATCCTGTCTTTAAAGTAGTATAATAATGCATACAGAGACTCCCGACCTCGTCGTTCCCCGGAAGGACGGCTTCCGGCGCACAGGGAGCTACGGGTGGGGAGCGCCAGCCTTCTGGCTGGCTAGCTTCCTGCCTGCTGGCTCCTGGAGGGTGGGCCCCCAGCGCATGGGGAGCCTTGGGCGGGGAGCGCTGGTCTTCGGACCGGTGACTCACTCCCAGCCTCGTCGTTCCCCGGAAGGAGGGCTTCCAGCGCACAGGGAGCTGCAGGTGGGGAGCGCCAGCCTTCTGGCTGGCTAGCTTCCTGCCTGCTGGCTCCCGGAGGGTGGGCCATGCGG